TTTAAAACCTGGAGGTTTGAATCAGTTGCAGGTGCAGTTCACGTGATCAAGACATATTTTAATGATATATAATGGTAAGAAACATATTAACATTATTTTTGTTACTCGTGTACACCAAAAAAAATTCCTCTGACAGCTAATCATATGACCAATCATACCTAAGGTTTATACTCCTTTGCTTTTATTGTTTCCTTTACTTTTATGTTTCTGCTGCACTGTTTTATACTGCAGAATTGAACTCCCAAATGTAATTACGTTTAAAGGTCAAGCGGATCATTTTGCAGCACCCTTGAAGGGTCTTTCTTAAACAAAGCCAATACTGTTAACAGGATGGATTTATTTTTTTCATTGCTGTCTCCTAAGAGCTCTGTATACTGGACAGTCTTCCTGTGCAACTGATTTCAGCGCTCCTGGATACAGCAGATAAAACAACACGAGCCGCTGATATTAACCCGTGCATACTGTTCTGCAGCTGTTTTTGCCCCATTGACGTTTCATTATATGTTTTGATTGCAAAGCCATGATCTTGACTGCAAATAATCATGCATTCTTGATTGTTGGTGGTTTTCCCTGTTGGAAAGAGGTATTTTTACTGTTGATCATCAGTTGCCCTAATTAACCTATTAGATAGGTCTGTGCCAAAAAGTTTCAGGAGTACAACAACAAATTATAATGTCTGTACATGAATACACTTACTATGTTTACTATGTTCTGAGAGCTGAGGTGCTTATTTAGATTTTCTCAGACATATCAAGGTGAGTATGCAAAGGTATCTCTCTTTCTCTCTCACTCTCTCTCTCTCTCTCTCTCACACACACACACACACACACACACACACACACACACACTGTACACCATATAACCCTATATAAAAGCCAGAAACTAAGAGCATACTCACACTATGTACAGTTGCCTTGAATCTGGCTGAAGCACGCTTGTCCCCCTCCTATCTCCCTTAACGGCCCTCACTCGCATTACATTCGGGGCTGGGCACACTTATGTCATCGATGATATACTGTACAATAAGCGCTCTTGCTCAGCACAGTGAAGATTTCTATCGTTTAAGTTGTTTGGGATGCAGTGACATGCAGTCAAATGTTTCGCCGAACAGATCAACCACTTTTGACGCTCATAAACAATCTAAAAAGTCCTTGTGCTGCAGGAATTATGAGGTTTGCTGAAGGTGCAGCTGTCGTGCAGTGAGGGGTTTGCGTCTTTAATAATTTATTCAACAGTACGAATGATTAATTAATCCATATGAAACAGTCCCTTAAAAGTCACGTCTCGCTTTCAGTTTCGGGCTCAGGCACGTTTTGCACTCACACACAAGCGTACCACGCTCAAGTGAACCGCACTTAGGCACACCTCTTACAACCGGGCCAGGGCCGGCCAAGTGAACCGTGCCTGATCCCGATTCAGAGCACTCACACTTCTCAAACAATCCAGGAAACGGTTCGATTAGCATAATGTGTTGATGCCCTAAGCTTTTTTTGCATTGCAACTGATGGTCAACAGCAAAAATTACAAATTTTACCTCTTCCCAACAGGGAAATCCACCGACAATCAAGAATACATTATAATATGATGTAATTTTGCAATCAAAATGTTACGATAACCAGCGATCGCTCTCCAGAGATCGCTGGTTTCCACTATACTTGGACTACACTTCCGCAATTTCCAGGACTACACATTCATACATGCACTTCTCCCAGACACGCACGCCTGTTCATTCATCTAGCCTGATTACACTCACCCACTGAACCCTGTCAGAGACTGATAACACACCATACATAAACCACTCATTCACTCACCCTGGGCTGAGTCTTGTTCGCTAAAAAAATGGTCTTAAACACCCAGCAGGCCCAAGTCGTCAACATGACGTCAGATTGACGTCGTACCCCAATGCGTGGGGACATTGCATTTGTCTAGAAATGAAAATCGGGTTTGACGTCAGAACTCAAGGTCAGGCCCACCTCAATGACTAACGGCCAACTTAAAATCAACTAAATATCAACGTCTAATGATGTTAGAGCTTGATGTTGTGTGGACATTATCACTATGATGTATATCAGATGTTGGAGTTTGGTTGCCATACCTGACAAATAATTGTAAGTATTTGACGTCAATGTGATGTTGGATTTGGGTCCCTTTTCTAAAATTAACCAAATATCAACGTCTAATGATGTTACAGCTTGATTTTGTGTAGACGTTACCACTATGACGTATATCAGACGTTGGATTTTGGTTGCCAAACCTGACGTATAAATGTCAGTATTTGACATCAATATTCATTCATTCATTTTCTTGTCGGCTTAGTCCCTTTATTAATCCGGGGTCGCCACAGCGGAATGGACCGCCAACTTATGCAGCACGTTCTACGCAGCGGATGCCCTTCCAGCGGCAAGCCATCTTTGGGAAACATCCACACACACACATACACACACACTCATACTCTACAGACGATTTAGCCTACCTAATTCACCTGGGCTCCATGTCTTTGGACTGTGGGGGAAACTGGAGCACCCGGAGGAAACCCACGCAAATGCAGGGAAAACATGTGAACTCCACACAGAAAAGCCAACTGAGCCAAGGTTCAAACCATTGCCCTGACATCAATATGACAGTGGTTAAAGATATTGGCTTGACTTTTGATTTTGATTGCTTTCTGACAACCTAAAATAAACTGTTATTGGATGTCAAAATAGTCTTGTCCTTAGTTGCTGGATAGACATTGACTTTTGGTCACCTATCACTACCTAAATCTAACCTATTACCGTATTATGACGTTGTGTGCCTGCTGGGCAATAACTAATCGCATTACAGAATGTTTTGCATCCACAAACTACATGTAAATGCATCGTCTTTTACAGCGTAATACTCACAACTGACTACTCTTGAGTACTTTTTAAAGGGCTACTTTTTACTCTTACTTTGAGTAATATTTACAGCAGATACTTTTACTCTACTCGCACTACATTTTTAGGCAAGTAATGGTACTTTAACTTGAGTATGATTTTTCAGTACTCTTTCCACCACTGCTAACAGCACACGAGGGTTAATCACAAAGATCTTCACTTTTCCCGCCTTGAGAGAGAATAACAGCACTCACGATTTAGCCTTAATGTTATCGCATAATTGTAACACATTAGAGATATGTAATTTTCATATTAAGTTAATATGCAGACGGCAAAATGATTTGGTCTTTAAACAGCATAGAAGTGTTTTGATTGCATCAAGAAAATGACAATGTATTCCCTTTGTGGTAAAAACGTGATGCACGTAACTGGCATTTAGATAAGCGATAATGATAACTAATTATCATTTAACCCCAGCGGCACACAGACTTTGCTCTTGAAATATCAATCATAGGCAAAATGTAGTGGCTAATCTATCAGTAATCAGTTGACAGAAGCAATAGTCAATCCTATCAGAGACATCAATAAATCGTACGGCTCACATTGATGGGGCATTAAGAGCAATATACGCTCAATAATTACTGGAGTTTGTGCTCATAAGTCTGATAGGATGGTTAAATATTTAATATTTGCTTTTCTGGACAGACTTTAGGCACATGGCTCATTGTAGAACATTATAAATGATCTATTAACAGACTTGAATATACTTTTATACACCTCTTGACAACACGTGAAGGAAAAAGAAAAGTTAATTCCTCACTAACTGAGCTGTAATAGAGGATCAGACACACTTTGTCAGCAGTATTGTGACCTCTTGTGGCCATACCATGACATTACCTCATCAAAAAAGAAAAGAGGATTTATGTTTTCATTTACTGAAGAAATGTTTTCCATATAATAAAAGCACAGAGACAGATGGATGAATGCAGAGACAGATGTACAGACAGATTGAAAGACAGACAGATTTACATATATAAAGATGAACAGATACACAGACAGATGGACAGACATTCAGATACACAGACAAAGAACAGACAGATGATCAGATTTACAGATAGATAGATAGATAGATAGATAGATAGATAGATAGATAGATAGATAGATAGATAGATAGATAGATAGATAGATAGATAGATAGATAGATAGATGGATGGATGGATGGATGGATGGATGGATGGATGGATGGATGGATGGATGGATGGATGGAGGGATGCACAGATAGATAGATAGATAGATAGATAGATAGATAGATAGATAGATAGATAGATAGATAGATAGATAGATAGATAGATAGATAGATAGATAGATAGATAGATAGATAGATAGATAGATGGATGGATGGATGGATGGATGGCTGGATGGATGGATGGATGGATGGATGGATGGATGGATGGATGGATGGATGGATGGATGGATGGACTGATGGATGGATGGATAGAGGATGGCTGATGGATGGATCGATGGAAGGAAAAGAAGGATAATAGATAGATAGATAGATAGATAGATAGATAGATAGATAGATAGATAGATAGATAGATGGATGGATGGATGGATGGATGGATGGATGGATGGATGGATGGATGGATGGATGGATGGATGGATGGATGGATGGATGGATGGATGGATAGATGGATGGATGGATGCACAGATAGATAGATAGATAGATAGATAGATAGATAGATAGATAGATAGATAGATAGATAGATAGATAGATAGATAGATAGATAGATAGATAGATAGACGGACTGATAGATAGATAGATAGATAGATAGATAGATAGATAGATAGATAGATAGATAGATAGATAGATAGATAGATAGATAGATAGATAGATAGATAGATAGATAGATAGATAGATAGATAGATAGATAGATAGATAGATAGATGTTAGTTAGTTAGTTAGTTAGTTAGTTAGTTAGAAAATATTAACAGACATAAACAGAAAGATAGACCCAGATAGAAATAGATGGGCAGCAAGTTAGAAATTCAGATGAACATATGCATGGACAGACAGACAGATAAATAGATCTCAACTGAATAGTAGTGAGGTCTGAATGCACACATAGACACACCCACTCTCTCAGCATGTTAGAGCCTGTCATCACTTCATTCACTAGTTCACCTTTAATCTTACAGAGACGGTGGAGAGAAGTCATAACCAGCAGCACTAAACTTCCACTGCAGACCTGCACAATGAGAGACTACAACTGTAAAGAACACATAGACAAAATCCTCCAAGATGCTCCGACCGCAAGGAAAGCTCTTCTCGACAACCACAGCAATCTGCTCAAGGTGGCCGACTACTGTCAGAACAAATACCTCAATGTGAGCCAGCCGTTTCATTGTTTCTTTGAATATTGTTTACATTTTTATTTAAAGATTATATTTCCTAAAAGTCTTAAAGTGACTTTATGTTTACTCTGAAAAATGCTTCATCGGATTTACTCATTTATTTTAAGATAACTGGTTTCAAACTATTTATTTAGGTCAAATTTAAACCAATTAAATTTAGTAATGTTCGACTTCATTTGTTTGTTTAAATTCAGCCCATATCAATTGTTTGCAACCATTTAACTTAAAAATGTAGAAAATCTTATAAATCAGTGTACATAAGGCCAAAACATATAGTGCTGATGTTTATATAGTTTATATGTACTTATATAGCGTACATATATAAACATATATAGTGCTGAAGTAAATATTCATATTGTGCTATTAATGTTTTTTGTCACTATAAGTGTGGTTGAGTCTTCTTTTAAAGGTTTTGCCTGGATTTAATTATTCGTTCATTTGCAAAACTCATATACTACATCATGTATGATACTAAAAGCGACTGATTTAACTGATTTATTTCCAGTAATGATGAGTTATTCACAAGGGTTGCTGAAAACAGCTTTCTTCAGAGTGATCTGTTTTTCAGTCTCCATCTTTGTGCTGTTTTTACTGACGGCATACATGCCTAAACACGGCTGTGGTATGTGTTCCCAGTACTCCATGAAAACTGTTCTTAACATGTTTATCTAGGTCTCCATCTCTGAATCCTGTCTTGTGCTGAATTAGCAAAAGCTTTTATATTCATATACTGCAACATCACCTGTAGTTCTTTAATATTAATGATTATATTTAATATTAGGCTCAATGTTATATTCATGCAGTAACATAACAGCTTTTTTAAAGACAGATTAATATTTTATACAGCAATGATGGAATACATTTCTCTGAAGTAACAGAAAATGCATGATTATATACACTTGCAAAAGACTTTATGTAAAATAAATGTTCTGTTAATCAAAGAATTTTTTTTTTAAATAATGTAACATGTTTTATGCTAATATTATAAAATATATATTTCATTCATTCATTTTCCTTCAGCTTAGTTCTTTATTTATCAGGGGTCGCCACAGCGGAATGAATCGCCAGCTATTTCAGCAAATGTTTTACACATATTTGCACATGTTTTGCCCTTCTAGATGCAACCCAGACTGGGAAACACCCATACACTCTCAAACTTACACACACACTCAAACACTGCGGCTAGTGTAGTTTATTCAATTCACTTACAGCGCATGTTTTTGGGCTAATGGGAAAACCGGAGCTTAACCCACGCCAACACGGGGAGAACATGCAAACTCTATGCAGAAATGTCAACTGACATATTATATTTTATTATATTATGGGCTGCACGGTGGTGCAGTGGGTAGCCCAATTGCCTCACAGCAAGAAGGTCGCTGGTTCGAGCCCCTGCTAGGTTAGTTGGCATTTCTGTGTGGAGTTTGCATGTTCTCTCCGTGTTCGCGCCCGTGTTCATGTTCGAGCTAAATTGGCCGTAGTGTATGAGTGTGTATAAATGTAAAACATATGCTGGATAAGTTGGCGGTTAATTCTGCTGTGGCAACCCTGATGAATATAGGGACTAAGCCCAAAAAAATGAATATTATATTATATTATATTATATTATATTATATTATATTATATTATATTATATTATATTATATTATATAGTATTATTTTATATTATATAGTATTATTTAGTATTAAATTATATTATTTTATTTTATATTATATTAGTTTATCTTATTTTATAATATATTATTTATCAAAAATTGACAGTAGAGAGCAAATAGACAATAATGCAGTGTAAAAGTGGCATTAAAAATACATTTAGATGTATTTTTTTTATCAGAACGTAACACAATTATACTTTATGTAATAATATTATAAGTTATATTTTAAAGTTTGAAGTCAATTCTTTTTTATAGTAACTTATTGTTACTATTTCGATATTCTTTACTAAAGATGCAGTAAATTGTTCAAAAGTGACAATAAAAACATTTACAAAATTACAAAAGAATATATTTTAAATAAATGCTAAATTATTGAGTTATTTAAAGTGTTTTTTTGAACACAAAAACTGCATAATATAATGCTTTCACAGTGTATGTAATTATACTGAAAATTCCCATCTCATGAATAAGATGTATTTAAAACAAAAAGAAAACAGTTATTTTAATTAGTAATAATATTTTACATTTCCATTATATTAATGCAGCAATGATCCAATGTCTTTCAAAATATTTAAACAAGTCTTGCTAATGTTTATTATATTTACTGACATTTATTTATTTACTGTCTGAAAGTTGCCATTTAATATGATGCTTCAGATGTGATGGATCCACAGGCCATAATTGTGCCAACCCTGCGAAGACTTAAAGAGATGATGCCCATCCTCTGAGGACTTTGAGGACAAAACAAATATTTAATACACAAATACACTTCTTTGAACATGTATTATAAACATACACTCACCGGCCACATTATTAGGTACACCATACTAGTACTGGGTTGGACCCACTTTTGCCTTCAGAACTGCCTTAATCCTTCATGGCATAGATTCAACAGGCTACTGGAAATATTCCTGAGATTTTGCTGCATATTGACATGATTGCATCAAACAGTTGCTGCAGATTTGTCGGCTGCACATCTATGATGCGAATCTCTCGTTCCACCACATCCCAAAGGTGCTCTACTGAGTTTAGATCTAGTCCATTTAAGTACTGTGAACTCATTGTCATGTTCAAGAAACCTGTCTGAGCGGATTTGCGCTTTATGACATGGTGTGTTACTGTGCTGGAAGTAGCCATCAAAAGATGGGTACACTGTGGTCATAAAGGGATGGACATGGTCAGCAACAATATTCAGGTAGGCTGTGGCGTTGACATGATGCTCAATTGGTGTTATTGGGCTCAAGGTGTGCCAAGAAAATATCCCCCACACCATTACACCACTTAAGTCACTTAAATCACCTTTCTTCTCCTTTCTGATGCTCGGTTTTGATGCTCAGCAGATCGTCTTGACCATATACATGCCTAAATGCATTGAGTTGCTGCCATGTGATTGGCTGATCAGAAATTTGGACAGGCAGTTAAACAGGTGTACCTAATAATGTGGCCAGTGAGTGTATACATCACCATTTGGGAACACTCTATATTGTATAACTGTATGTTAACTATGTTTGTATACTGTCCAACCTGTACACGATTCCTTTACTTATCTCATTTTGACCATAATAGTGTGCACTTGTTTATAAAGCTGCTTTAGAATGATAATTATTGTGAAAAATGCTACACAAATAAACTTAAATTGAATTCTGGAGCTCTGAAGTTTTTACTTTGCTAAATCATTATCTTTTTTTTTTTACACCATTAGGTAGAGGACACCAAAAGTGTGATTGAGGAGTCCAAAGCCCTGACCACTCAGGCTCTGGCCAGTGTCACATATCAGATCAACAATCTGGCCACGAATCTGCTCAAGCTCTTGGACACTCAGACGGTTCAGCTCAAACAGATGGAGTCCTCCATCAACATGCTGACGCTGGTGAGCTGCGGTTAACACTTCACACAAACCACCACAGTCTCCGCAAAAACAATGCCAACTGTGGGCAAGTCAGGACTGTGTTAGAAATACAACACCGGTGCTCCTCATTATAGAAATATTTCCCATTAAGATGAAAATGTACTCATTCCCAGGCCATTTAAAGGGGACCTATTATGCCAAAAATACTTTTATAAGGGGTAAAAACACATAAACACACTTTTACATATACATTTTAAATACTTCAGCTGACCATCCCCCACCCCTTTCTAAAGTAATAATACTAGAAATAGTCTGTTAAAGAGCCATGAAACACCCTGTTTCAGCCGGCTGTTTTCACACCTCTAGTTTGGAAAAGTCAGGAAAGTGGGTGTGTCTAGCTCTGTTTGGGTGGGAGTGTCGGGGTAGTGGGAAAGGGGATGGATTTAAATAAAAAAGGGAGTTTCCATTTGGGGCACTTACTGATTTTCACAGAGGAAAAACAAAAGACAGTGACTGTGTTTAATGGTGGTGGAATGTTTGATACCGCATGTCGTATAAAAGAAAAAAAACTCTGCATTTCTTGGTAGCTCAGACAGTAACGCAGCGGTGGGGCCCCGCGTGATGGGGGGCCCCGCGTCGTCGCGATTTTCAATAATTGAAAATCCAGCAACCGCAATAATCAAACTCTTGGGAACCAATGTGGTCGGAACCAAAGTTCACAGATCTGTGTTTTCTGAACACCTCTCAAGCGGTGGACTACTTCATTCTGATTGCTTGCCGCCGAACCGCGTCATATCATAGCTCAGTTGACTTGATTTGATCTCTCCTTGACGCTCACACACCGGAGAAGACGCGCCGTGCTGTTTCTCGCCGCCGGTTCTCATTGAAAATGAATGACTTCTGGCTACTTTGACGCTCTCGCCGCTTTCGGTTTGTGATCGCTCCTCAGTTTGTGAAGGCTTCCCCGCGTTGTCGCTCCACCCCGCCTGCCTTCCCCGCTCCTTAATTTGTGATCGCTTCCCTGTGTTGTCAGGGGGCCCCGTCAGTGATCCCTGCAGGGGGGCCTCTGCATTTTGCACTACGCCACTGAACTCAGATGCACTCGGTAGGTCAGATAGCTGTGTCTGTGTAGACAATCCTGTCACAAAATGTGGTGAAAATTAAACACGACGGTCGGCAATAGTTTGCTTGCAGTGTTCATGTGTTTACACTCAGAGAGCAGCATTTACAGCGGATTTTTCAGTCCATAATATTGTAGTGATGTTTACGTAAACTTAGTAATTTAGAAATCATTTTGACTAGGGTCTGTCTTCAAATACTGAAAGAGTACTGCTGACAATACCAACTATAACTTTGCCATCTGAATGAACAAAGAAAGGGTGCTGATCGCACACACTTACAAATCTGTAGAGACAGGACAATCAACACCAACTGGAGCTGCGACTTTTTTTTTGAAGGACACTGTCGTAAATTCGACGTCTAATCAATTAGAAATTATCAGACCAGAGGTTTTGAATATCAGAAAATAGACTTTATTCTCCATAATAAAGCCGAGAAAGAGCAGAGCAGACCCCAGAGCATTCTGAAGTCTCTCCTGGACACCTTCTGAAGTCTCTCCTGCACCTTCTGAAGTATCTGTGTTTGTTACAATTTTTATACAGGATTATTTGACACACCCCTAAGTCTCTTTTTAACTCTTGACCATTTTTGAATAGGTTTTTAGTCTAAGGGGTCCTGCTATTCTTGGCTCTCAGCCCACTAGCTCATGTCAGCAGAGATGTTACAGGTCTATGTCAGCAAAGTATAGATGCAACTTATGCAAAGGAACTAAGTGTTTACATACATTTGTCATGATAGGATAATAACTTGATAATATGTTACTCATTCCAACTTCTGACACATATAGCTTCTTACAAGTATTTAACATATATAATCAGTGCTTTACATATTCAGTTATTCTACACAATCAGTCACTCAGCCTTCTCCTAGTGTTGCTTCTGTGCAGGCATACTCATCTTACACAGACATATCACTGTATTTTTAACACAGGCTGGCATGTTTGCTGCAAACACTACATACATTTTGAGAAGAGAAAATTAACTGCTTTACACTTAGAAAATACTTCACACTGAGAGAATAGAAATCTTCTTCAACACGAGCAGAAACTCCGGATTTCACAATTTCCTGATGCGAAAAGCTCTCGGGTAAACAATGTTCCGTACAAACGTATTTGTGACGCGTGCACTGATCCACACGTGAGTCCAGCAGCGCTCTCATAGAGAGAAAATGAAAACAAAACCTTCACTGCAGCACATTATAAAAACAACACTGACGAACCGTATCTCCAAACAATTCTTATTCATTTCCCACTTCTTTTGGCAACACAACGTGTCGTCACTCTGCCGTCTGAACACAGGTACAGCCTTCGAAGCTAGCATGCATATTAATGAAGTTGCAGCGCATACACAATAGAGCACGCTGATTGGTTTGAACCAAGTCTTACTCATGCATTAATGCAGCACACTCAGAGACGTCATAAGATACTCCCAGGTACAGAGGTCCAGTCTACACGCTGGAATACACGCTAAAGCAGGTCGCACACCAGAAGCGCCGCTCGGCGCCGCGACACGGCGCGTACATGACAGATTAAAGTATCGCACACCAGACGCGCACATTCGAATGATATTTAACATGAAACTAATCAGATGGCGCTCTGTGGCGCGGCTGAAAAATGAACTGCGTCCTGAGCCGTCGCCGGGCGCCGCCGACAGCCGCCGACTTGCGGCGCCGGTGTGTGTATCCTGATAGAAACCTATAATTAGAATTCTAAAATACGTGGCGCTGCGCGGCGCGCCGCCGAGCGTCGCTTCTGGTGTGCGACCTGCTTTAGATCTCATGGCCGTGACGCAGCTTCATAAATTCGTTTCGAACCGGAAGTACAAATTTGCTTGATTTACCGCAAAAACAACAAATTTTCACTTTTTAGTGAAATATATGTGTCCTAATTGTGTTTTAGCAGTGTGGGACACATATACCACTGTCAACAGCTCAAAAAAAATGTGTTTTGGTGTTTCATGACCCTTTAATGTGAGTATTTATATTCAGACAGTGGCCATGTACAAGGAAAAGATTGCTCGGGGAGAGATCGGAGTGCTCACCAAACAGGCAAAAGTTCCCAGGACCCAGAAGGTGGTTCCTCCTGCAAAAGGACTGGAGCCGTTTCGTGGTTACAGACGTGTTCCCATATCCTACAGCTGCTTGGACAAACTGGGCCACGGACACTGGCAAGGCAATAAAACTGTAAATATTTACATTTCTCATATTTGATCAGTAGTAAAGTACAGGGTGGGCAGTTTATATGGATACACCTTAATAAACTGGGAATGGTTGGTGATATTAACGTCCTGTTTGTGACACATTAGTATAAGTGAGGGGGCAAACTTTTCAAGATGGGTGGTGACCATAGTGGCCATCTTGGATCAAACTTTTTTTTTTTCAATAGGAAAAGGGTCATGTGACACATCAAACTTCAAAAACAATGGTGTGCTTGGTTTTAATGTCACACAATAGACAATTGCCTTCAGATGACCACAAAGATAAAAGTCTAAGGGGGTCAGATCATGAGACGTTGGGGGCCATTCAACTGACCCACGATGACCAGTCCATTTTTCAGGAAAATGTTCATCTAGGAATGCTTGGACCTGACACCCATAATGTGGTGGTGCACCATCTTGCTGAAAAAGCACAGGGAGCGTGCCAGCTTCAGTGCACAAAGAGGGAAACACATCATCATGTAGCCATTTCAAATATCCAGTGGCCTTGAGGTTTCCATTGATGAAGAATGGCGCCACTATCTTTGTTGTCTATGGTGTGAAGAGACAAGATGTGCAGCACCTGAAACTGGATACTGGAAGCCTATGCTGGCATTTCTCCTGCGATTTTGCTATTAGTGTGTAAAGAGAGGGAGAAGAGGGTTGCAATAACAATCCAACACAATAAGCAGCACATTGAAAACATTTTATAAGTGATCAGAAACTTGTAAATAACTCATGAAAGAATAAAGTTACATTAAAACCAAGCACACCATTGTTTTTCTTGTAAAATTCCCAATAAGTTTGATGTGTCAAATAACCCTTTTCCTACCCTGCTGAAAAATCCAGCTTCAACCAGCCTAGGCTGGTTGGCTGGTTTTAGCTGGTCGACCAGGCTGGTTTTAGAGGGGTTTTGGCCACTTCCAGAGTGGTTTCCAGCCATTTCCAGCCTGGTCTTAGCTGGTCAGGCAGGTAGATGACCAGCTAAAACCAGCTTGACCAGCCTTGCCAAGCTGGGAGTCCAGGCAAAACCAGGTATATCTAGCTTAAACCAGGCTGGTCAAGCTGGTTTTAGCTGGATTTGGCTGGTCATTCTCCAGCCTGACCAGCTAAAACCAGGCTGGAAATGGCTGGAAACCAGCCTGGAAATGGTCAAAACCCCTCTAAAACCAGGCTGGTCAACCAGCTAAAACCAGCCAATCAGCCTAGGCTAGTTTAAGCTGGATTTTTCAGCAGGGTATTGAAAACACTAAAGTTGGATCCAACACGGCTGACTTCAAAATGGCCACTATGGTCACCACTCATCTTGAAAAGTTTGCCCCCTCACATATACTAATAGCCCCTTTCACACAGTGATACCGGTAAATATCTGGAAAATTTCCGGAAAGACTTTACCGGTATATTCAAAAAAGCGCTGTTCACACAGGCGAGGACGTTACGGAAATTTTCCGGAAAAGAGCATTCACACATCCATTCCAAAATACCGGTAAATTCTGACATCATTCACCACAAATGAGCTTTAAACGGCTGCGCTTGTATTTGTAAACATTTGACTAAATTACAAACTCTGTGGATGATCAATATTGTGAACAACTTTCGCAGGATCACTTTCTCATGTCGAGATGTTCATAATATCTGCGTGTGCAGGCGCTCATATGCGCACGCAAAGCTTGAAGGTAAACAAACAACGGCTTATTATAAGCATCTCATCGATGATTATTTACACAGTTGGCATTAAGAAGAACATACAAACGTAATCTGACTAACTTCTAGCAGCTAAATGTGTATGGAAAAATATTCAAAGGCTTTTATCCTCACAAACCGCGCGGACGTAAATGCGTCTGACTGTTGTGATTGGCTAAAGCAGACGTTTCACGTCAGCACGTTCTAGACGTGCACGCGCTTATTACGGGAATCTTCCTTCTGCATTCACACAGCGCAGCTTTCCGGCAAATTGCCGGTAATGTTACAACTTCTCTTTCCGGAAAATAGCCAGAACGAATTTACCGGTATTTTCAAAAAGGACCTGTTCACACATACAGACCTTTCCGGAAAATTGCCGGCAATTTTCCGGAAAGGTCTGTATGTGTGAAAGGGGCTAATGTTTCACAAACAGGACGTTAATATCACCAACCATTCCCATTTTATTAATGTGTATCCATAAAAATAGCTCACCCTGTATATTCACAAAATATTTTTTGCCCTCAAACTGCGACAGTTTTTCTGATTTATTTATGTACATTTTTATTATTGAACTGTGTCACCGCAGGAAGAGACAAAGACAGAAAGCGACTATGAGGACTCTATGTCTGTACAGCTCAGCACACAGGAGACCAGCACCTTTAACTGGTGTGTTATAAATGCTGGTGACATTCTCAAAGTTACAAATGTTTCGGGTGGACTTCATTTTGACATTATCCTCAAAAAATCTGATGCATTTGCTGTGGTTTCAGGTCTTTTTTGGGTATCGCTGTTCCTCCGCCATCTGTTCCTGCCTCAGTGGGTTCTAGTGTCGCAGCTCCACCTGATTTCTCTCCAGCTTCACCCTCTCCTTCACCACTGTCTGTTCGCTCTCCGTCTCTGCCTCCGTTTGCCTATCCCGACCTCTCCATGCTGCCTCCTCCACTTCTGCCAGATGATGACATGGGAGACGCTCCACCTCCACCACCTCCTCCATCTCCTCCTCCACCTGGTTCTGTGTATGGAGGCTCTTTGGTTCCCCCTCCACCACCTCCACCTGGCACAAACACCACAATGACAGCACCACCTCCTCCTCCTCCTCCTGGAAATATGAGTGTCCCACCTCCACCACCTCCTCCTCCAGGTACACTGTAAAAAATGCTTGATTCCACACAATTCCTTCATGTTGCCTCAAAACAAATCCATTAAGGATGCTTTCACACCAGTAGAGCGATTGTTTTGTTCCGAAACTGGAATTAAACTAGCAGGGTTCATACGGTCATGAAAAACCTGGAAAAGTCGTGGAATTTTGACCTGGATAAGCTTTGGAAAAACAGAAAAACCCACAAGGTCTTGGAAAAGTCATGGAAATTACATTTACGTTTAGGGTGCTTTCACACCTGCCTTGTTTTGTTCCGTTGTATCACACTAGAGTTTGTTTTCCCTCTTGGTGCGGTTCGTTTGGGCTGGTGTGAATGTAGCAATCGTACTCGAGTGCGCACTGAAAGCCGACCAAAAAATCATACCAAGACCTCCTTGAAGAAAGAGAGAAAGAGAGAGGGAGGGAAAACATTACCTGATGGATCATTAGTAATATTTCTAGAAGATGACCATGTTGTAGTTTAGCTAAATTAATTCACGCCTCCTGAACTGACTGTTGCTGTTTGCAGTGACCTCAAACATTGTTTTTCAGCCCCTGCTGCGCTTTATTTTCGAAATGTATAGTTTGAGTAGGGGCGATGAAGTGGGGCAGTAGCTAGTGCTGTCGCCTCACAGCAAGAAGGTGGCTGGTTCGAGTCTCGGCTGGGTCAGTTGGCATTTCTGTGTGGAGTTTGCATGTTCTCCCTGTGTTCGCATGGGTTTCCTCCGGGTGCTCCCGTTTCCCCCACAGTCCAAAGACATGCAGTACAGCTGAGGCTAAAATTGTCCGTAGTGTATGAGTGTGAATGAATGTGTGTGGATGTTTCCCAGAGATGGGTTGCGCTGGAAGGGCATTCGCTGTGTAAAAGTTGGCAGTTTGTTCCTCTGTTTATTCCGTTGATGAATAAAAGGAATCAATGAATGAAAAGTGATGGATCTGTTCAGCGAAAGATTTGACTGTGTCCTCGCAGCCCAAACAACTTACCGTACGTTCACACCGAAAGCGGCGAGAGCGTCCAAGGTCGCTCTGGCCGCCCTGGCGACAACGCTCTCTGCCTTCAGCTCCTGCGGCGAGAGCGTCAAAACTCGCTACATTGATCTCGTATTTAAAGGAGCCGTTGCAGCATATCAGTTACATTCCTGCATAAAACATGTTTCTAGCGTGAAAATGTTGCGCACTTCTTATCAAATTCATACAACAATGGAAGATCAAGTTGCGTGTGGTGTGGCTTTGCTCTATTTATCCAATATGTGTCCATATGTCTGAAACATCCTGAAGCAGCAGTACTGTTTTGTACTGTCACATCACGTGAGATTCCCGCTTTTTTAAGATAAATTTATATAACATTATTGAACATCAGTAAGTCGCCAGTAACTTATTTAATGCATGTTCCTGTAGGAAAAAATTAGAAATAATTAGAAATCCGGCGACCGCAATAATCAAACCCTTGGGAACAACTGTGGTCCGAACCAAAGTTCACAGGTCTGTGTTCTCTGAACTGCTATCAAGCGATGGACGTCTTCATTCTGAGTGCTTGCCGCCGAACCGCGTCATAGCTCATTACCATAAAGTTGACTTCATTTCAACTCTCCTCGACGCTCACGCCGGCGAAGACGCGCCGCGCTGCTCCTCGCCGCTTATCGCCGCCTATCGCCGCCGGCTCTCATTGAAAATGAATGACTTCCGGCTACTTTGACGCTGTCGCCGCTTTCGGTGTGAACGTACGGTTCAAATCATACAAAACAATATAAATAAAGCAGTCACCAGTCTCTGTGACGTGCTCTGAGCGTGCTCTGACTCGGAAGGTAAAATTGCAATGTGAGTACAGGTCGATGAGGAGAGGGTAGGGGGGGCCAGTTATGACTGGGCATGGTTTAAGACAACTGTGAGTGTAAAGTTAACTTAATCGTTTTTACAAATTTAAGCTGTCCCAATAAAAAACTTTACACTTGTTTTGTTTGAGTGTAATATGGGTGTCCCACCTCCACCATTTCTTCCTCCAGGTAATATGGGTGTCCTACCTCCCCCACCACCACCTCCTCCAGGTAATATGGGCGTCCCACCTCCACCACCACCTCCTCCTCCAGGTAATATGGGCGTCCCACCTCCACCACCACCTCCTCCTCCAGGTAATATGTGTATCCCGCCTCCACCACCGCCTCCTCCTGGTTACACTGGGTCATCACTTCCTCCACCAGCACCTCCACCTCCACAAAATGCCTCCATGGCACCACCGCCACCACCTCCTCCTCCTCTTGGAGGAAAATTTCTTCCACCTCCTCCTCCTCCACCTCCCCCATTTTAAATTGTGAATTTCAATATTAATTTCATGTAAGTGGATGTGAAATAATTGGGATAGGTGTTTTTTATATCATTTTTACTAAACTGTATAAACTTTTATTTTTATAAATGTTACATAAATGTTATAAATGCTTGTAGTTTAGTTTATGTATAAACTGTGTTGTGTTTTTAAAGCAGATTAAAGTGTGTAATAATCAACATGTTTTTACCCGTTTTATGATGCTCATAAAAACAAGAGGAAATCTTTTTAAATGCTTTATTGTGTGATTAATGTCTAAGTGTCTTTCCAACTATATATATATATATACACACTTCACACTTATATATATATATATATATATATATATATATATATATATATAAACAGAGCAAGAACATTTTCACAGTATGTCTAATAATATTTTTTTCTGTCTTATTTGTTTTATTTTGGCTAGAATAAAAGCAGTTTTAAAAAAAAATTTTAGCACCATTTTAAGGTCAAAATTCTTAGCCCATTTAGTCTATATAGTTTTTCAATAGTCTACAGAACAGACCATGATTATACAATAACTTGCCTAATTACACTAACCCAGGGGTCACCAACATGGTGCCCGTGGGCACCAGGTAGCCCTCCAGGTTCATATGAGTTGCCCGCGGGCCTGTTCTAAAAATAGCTCACCATAGCACCACATATAAGTAAGCTGCATCTAATATTTTTATAGGTATTCTTTTTAAATCACACTTGCATTGGTGTAAATTTAAAAATACTTTAAGTTATATATTTAAAAAAAACTTTAAAAACAATTTCAGACAAATGATGTGATTCATATTGATATTTATTGATATGTCTTCACATATATGAATATTATTAATTATTAATAATAACATATAATTAAAAGTAAATTAAGAAAAATGCATTATTTAATAACTGGTAGCCCTTCACACTAATCGATACCCAAGAAGTAGCTCTCAGTTTCCAAAAATGATGGTGACCCCTGCCCTAACCTGTCTAGTTAACCTAATTAACCCATGTTAAGCCTTTAAATGTCATTTTAAACTGTATAGAAGTGTCTTGAAAAATATGTAGTAAAATATTATTAACTGTCATGATTGCAACGATAAAATAAATCAGTAATTAGAAATGAGTTATTAAAACTTTTATGTTTAGAAATGTCTTGAAAAAATCTTCTCTTCGTTAAACAGAAATTGGGGACAAAATTAAACAGGGGGGCTAAAAATTTTGGTTTTAATAAAGAATTAATAAACTGTGATTGGTTTGAAAATAACATTTATTTGTCTTTTTAAGCAGTAGACATTGTCATTTTATCACCTGAATGATAAGACTGATACATTTAAGCTGGGTTGATTTAAAAATACACTGCAAACTAACAAAAGGAGGACTGGTTATTAACCATTTTGTCCATATTTAATTAAAATATTGGACTCTTAAAAAGCTTGTAGCAATCAATGATTATCATCACTGTTTTGTCTAAAAAAATATTATTATTATTTTACCCACAACTGCCATTTATAAAACAAAATTTTCTTTGTCATATTGTAAATAGCTGTTTTGGTTTATGGTTTATAGTGATTTAAAAAAAATAGTTCACCCCAAAAAAATATTTATTTACTCACTATACTCACAATTTGGTTCTGTATGAGTTTCTTCATTCTGTTGAACACAGAATAGGATATTTTAAAGATACTATTGACGTTTATGTAAAGAAAAACAACTTTGGAAGTCAATAGTTACCAGTTTCAAGTTTTCTTGATCTTTGTTTGTAAATTTAATTGTAAAATAAAGTCTGACAGGCTTGTCGTCAGTCCGATACAAAGTAGAGCCACTGTTTAAGATTGAAGGACTTTATTCTGTTAAAACAACCATTCTGGAAAACAACCATTCTTTATCCCACTTATTACCTGCTACAAAACATTTTTAAAACTTGACTCAAAACATTGTTCTCAGGCATGATAGTTTATTAATTCTTTTAGAAACAAAGCTGACAGAATCAAAACTGGCTGAGTAGAGCTGGTGGAGCATATAATAACCTGCATATTAGAATAAAGTCAGTAAGTAATTACAGACTTATTAAAATCTTTTGGTGAGCCATCACTTTAATATCGTTTTAAAAAATGCCCATGTGATAAAAAAATCAAGTGTCTTCCAAAACCTCCTGAAAAAGTATTCATAATTTATCCAATAGGAGACGAGTTCAGAGCCCGCCCTCTCCGATCGTTCTTTTTTTTAAGAGATCTTTATTCCGTCCTGCGCGTCAAGACTTCGGGACGGTGTGTCTCCCGCATCTCTCGCTGTCTGCCCCCGCCAGCCCATCCATGGCATTCGGGCGGCTCTTGGGGGTCCCGGAGAGTCCCGCTTCCTCCGACCAGCAATGGAAGCTGTAATGGAGGCCTGCAGAACCGGAGAACTGGAGCGGGAAAAGAAGCTCAGTAGGCTTTCATTTGAATCATTATTCAATTCAAATGAACTATAATGTATTTGCATAATTAAAAATAGTTAGCAAAAATTTGCTTTAATTACTTTAAAAATTTGTTCATTACTCTTTTTATTTGTGTAATTTGTGCAGGTATAAACTATTAAGAACACCTTGTTCTTAAAGGGATACAGTAGTTCACCCAAAATAAAAATGTACTCATTATTTAATTTTTAACATTAAACTATTTTCAATTTTTATATATATATATATATATATATATATATATATATATATATATATATATATATATATATATATATATATATATTTATACAGCAGTTCTGTTTGTTTCTCGAATCTGATTGGCTGATAGCCATGATACGTTTAAATAATATCAGCATCTGTACAGCCTCTTTACCCTTTGTGTATTACTCCGCCCACATACAGCCAGCAAAAAGCAGACACTACAGATCTAAAGTTTAAAAGATGCTAGCTTAGCTGTTTAAATGTCAGCTTATGATTTGAAGCCAACATGGAAGAAAGTAGTTCCTCATATAAAAGGGTTTTTGAGAATCTCCATGTTTGATTTTGTTTTTGTATACACAATTATGCCGTCAAACTGTTGTTTAAACGCAATATCACACTCATGGCAGTGCAATATGGCTGTATATCAGCACTGGTGAGGGCACTAACAATGCACGCCTCCCACCAGTGCCGATATACAGCCATATCGCACTGCTACGAGAATATATATATATATATATATATATTGTTTATTTTTCAAAGTACAAGTTAACAAATTGTTATCTAATTATTATTCTCTTGCAGGGTTTGGCCATGGAGATATGGTGGACTTTCTCCTTTGTTATGGAGCAGATGTTCATGCTTGTGATGATGGAGCTCTTGTCGTTTGGTCATGCTGAGGTGGTCAAACTGCTCCTGCGACATGGGGCTAAAGCGAACTCCAGAGACAATTGGAATTACACCCCGACTCATGAGGCCGCCATCAAGGGCAAAATATACTTCTGCATTGGTAAAACTACATCTCTACATTTTTGAAAACATTTTAAGGTCAATATTATAAGCCCCCTTAAGCAATAATTTTGCAGTTATCTACAGAGCAAACCATCATTTTACAATAGCTTGCATAATTACCTAACTTGCCTATAACCTAATTAAGCCTTAAATGTCACTTTAATACTAGTATTCTGAAAACGATCTAGTAAAATATTATGTGCTGTCATCATGGAAAAGATAAAAGAAATCATGTATTAAAAATGAGTTATGAAAACTAATTTGTTTAGAAATGTGTTGACAAAATATCCGCTTAACAGAAATTAGGGCAAATAAAATATACAGGGGGCTAATAATTCAAGAGGGCTAATAATAATTTTGACTTCAACTGTGTCTAATTATAATTTCATAAATGTAATAACAGTGTTTAACAGGTTTGCTGAAATATTCAGATATTATTGTACTGTTAGAAGAATGTGTGGTGGAGTAATTGTTCTTCAGTCTCATGTCTGGAGGTGTCATGCTAATATGGGTCTGTCCAACACAATCTCCCGGCAATTTGTTAGATAACGCTGGACGTCCTGGTGGAAATGGGACACAAAGAGCTAAAGTAGATCGGCATTAACGCTTACGGCCACAGACACAAGATCATCAAAGCAGTGGAGAGACTGATTAGTGGACCTCAGAGTAAGAGCGGCTTCTGCTTTCATCCAGAAGATTCATTTGAGGGAATACTTAATTAGAGATGAGCTTAACCATCACTTTGATCTGTTTCCACTAACAACTCTGATCTTTTTCGAAGAATAAGCCGCTCTTTAATGGGGTTAAATTATATGTTTTTATACATCTTTTCCCTCCAAGTTCCACTTTTTATGTTAAACAGCTCTATCATGTTCAAAAATGGTTTTTCACACTCTCTCTCTCTTTCTGAGCTAAGGGGAAAGCTCACCCCAAAAAAATGTAATTTACTTATTTAATTATGAGTTTTTTATTTTGTTAAACACAGAAGAAGACATTTTGAAGGTAACCATTGACTTCCATTGTATTTGTTTTCCTACTATGGAAGTCAATGGTTACAGGTTTTCAGCTTTCTTCAAAATATCTTCTTTCGTGTTCAACAGAAAGGTAAACTCAAAAAGGTTTTGAACAAATAAATAAATATGTATTGTGGCGAGTATACTGATGCCACGTCGCCATGGTCCCGGGATAACCCCAGCTGTCACCTCATCACAGCGGATCGCTCACAGCTGGCGCTCATCAAGAGGCACAGATATAAGCCACCACCAAACAGGAGGAGTGCGAGCTTCATTTGACCGAATGACTCCCTGCGCTAATGTCTGTCTGTCTGTCTGTCTGTCTGTCTGTCTGTCTGTCTGTCTGTCTGTCTGTCTGTCTGTCTGTCTGTCTGTCTGTCTGTCTGTCTGTCTGTCTGTCTGTCTGTCTCCTGCAGTTGACCGATCCTTTACCAGAATTCTCACTCAACCGCATTTTCTCCCCGGAGCGGGAAATTGTTTGTAACACCAACATTGAAGTGTGTGTGTTTTCCCTCTATCTCGCCACAGTATGCAGTTGAAGTAAAAAATTATTAGCCCTCCTGTCAAATGTTTAATCTTTGACTATTTGACAAAAGTGCTATTTACTGTAATTGAGCAAAGAAATTTTCACAGTATTTCCGATAATATTTTTTCTTCTGATGAAATTCTTAGTAGTTTTATTTTGACTAGAATAAAAGCAGTTTTAATTTTTTTTAAAGCCAGTTTAAGTTCAATGATATAAGCTCTCTTAAGCAATATTTTGTTTCGATTCTCTACAGAACAAACCACT